CATCCGCTGGGCTCCAGTCAGACAAAAGGGAGGAGGCAGGAGAAATGTCACCCTCTTTACACTACTATGCTAAGTCATGTGTTGACCACCACGATCTTTCTTCCGACAGTGCCCGTGAATCGCAAAACAGCTATCCGTACGGAATGAGATGGACGGGAATGTGCAAAACATGTCGTAGCCATCGGAGCTGATGAATTGTGATCTTATTGGGTCTGAAAAGACTAACTGCACAAAATACAAGCCACTCATTACACACGTACTATTGCTATCAGACGTTCCACATGGCTATTTACGTGAAACGCCAATGACTGATTATGCACATTAATCTTGTCTGCGGTCAAAACTCTTAGAACCCGTTCTAGTTGCGTTGGCAAAACAGTGTCAAAGATAAGTTTACTTTTGTGAACAAAATTCGTGAAGTGGTCGATTGAACAATGCTTTCGTTGGACGTAAGCGCGTTGTTCACAAATGTTCCCATCAGGTCAATTATCGAATACCTGTGCAGTTATGTGCAAAGTAATAATGTGGAGCTTGGCTTTTCTTTGTATGACCTAAAATGGCTGCTTTAGTTCTGCACGTTTAATGTTCAGTTCGTGTTTAACGATGAGTTCTACAGAAAAAAGGATGGCGTGTTCATGGGTCACCGCTGAGATCGCTTTTCATGGACTTATTCGTAATGAAATTGGAAAACACTCAGTTACACTCATCCATTGAAGACTGTGTACTATGTACACAGCACGTGATCAAAGCAATATCGAACAAAACGGAACTATTAAGCAGGGTTAGCACAGCGCTTCCCAACATAACATTTTATAAATGAATTGTAACAACAAATCACCACTTCTAAATGTTTTCATCACTCGTTGATCAGAGGAGTCGGGGCATAAAAAAGCAACTTGGAAAAATAAATAAATCCGTTTCCGAAGCTTTTACCACTTAAGTTAAAAAGAAACCTGGTTGGTTGCATAGTAGACAAGGCAAGAAGGATCTGCAGTGAAACCACGCTAGAAGAAGAGCTCTGTGCTGTAAGATCGATCTTTGCACGTAACGGGTATCCGGAACGTTGTGTCAACAAAATGATCCAGTTCACGTAGAACTCTTTACAAAACACCGAGGCTAAGAAAAACATCCTTATACAATTCGTTGCCATTCAAAGTGAACACCTGAGATCATACAAAGAAGATTACCCGACGCAATTGACAAACCGTTCTATGCATCCAAGTTTCGTGTGTTGTTCACGTTTAGGCCCATTGTGTGTTTGCGATGGAAAAAGTTCCCAACTCTGAGGTCTCACTCTGTGTATACTGATTTACTTGTTCCCATGGAACAACGAGCATAGGCCGCACAATCAGGTAATTTTCGGAACGGATTGGTGAACATCACCCTGCGTGACTGAACATCGGAACGATTGGGTTACTCACCAGTGCAGTGCTCTC